TTCAAAGAAGTCCCTAAAAGCTTCAAGATTAGCCTTCAATAGAGAAGATAAAGTGTTTAGAGGGTGTTTGAACAAAGTTTTGGTAAGGTAGAGAGAGAGAGAGAGAGAGAGAGAGAGATAGCTTTTTTTCTCTACCCAAAATGGGTTATATATAGGCCACTACAACAAAAAGCACCAATGGCGACTAAAAAAATGAATTTCGTCGCTGAAAGTTGCACAAATGGCGACTAAATCCATTTTAGTCGCCAAAAATGAAGCCTTTTGGCGACTAAAACCATTTAGTAGCCAAATGTATATGTATTGGCGACTAAAAATCAGTTTGGTCGCCTATTATATGGGTTTCAGCGACTAACACAATTTTCGTCGCCAAAAGTGATGGTTTTTGCCGACTAAAACAATTTAGTAGCCAAAGGTGCTGGTTTTGGCGACTAAAAAGCAAATTGGTCGCCGATTGTAGGTGTTTTGGCGACTAAAACGAGATTAGTCGCTGAAAGTGAAGTTTTTTGGTTACAAAAAAAAATTAGTAGCTAAAAACTGAGTATTGGCGACTAAAATTCAGTTTAGTAGCCAAAAGGGGACGTTTTTGGCGACTAAAAACAGGTTTAGTCGCCAAAAGGTGTGTTTTTAGGCGCAACATTTTTTTTTAGCGATTGCAAAATTAATTAGTAGCCTAAAATTGTAGAATTGGCGACTAAATAATGGATTTAGTCGCCAAAAGTGAGATAAATTTTTTTTTAATAAATAATTTATTTTTTACATAAATTATATTTGAATATATATAATTATATTTATATATATTGCTTTGTATTAATACCGGTCAAAGTAATATATAAATAATATATGTTGCAATTACATTCATGTGATGGTTTAGTGGCATAGTGGGGGGGGGAGTGTGTTGTAAAGCTTTGGAACCTGGAGGTCTCAGGCACAGAAGGTAATTTTTTTTTTTTTTTTTAAATATGCTTTTGGAGACTAAACTCTGTGGCCGCCAAAAGATTGACTATTGGCGACGAAAAAAATAGTCGGCAAATGTATAAATAAATAAATAAATTCACTATTGGTGACTAAAACTTTAGTCGCTAAATGTATAATTTCCAAAATTGAAAATGGAATCGACTATTGGCGACTAAAACTTTAGTCGCTGAAGACCTGTATATTGCCGACTAACTAATCTTTAGTCGCCAAAGGTATTGCCAACCATGTATTGGCGACCACAGCGGCGACTAAAATATTTAGTCGGGAAAAGTGAAAATTCTACATTTGGCGACTAAAATAGGACTTTTGGCGATTAAAAATTTAGTCGCCAAAAGTGTTTTTTCTTGTAGTGGGCCAAGGATCAGCCTATGAGTAACCTTGTACGCATATATATATATATGTGTGTGTGTGTGCGCGCGCGCGCGCATATGGGATATTCCAATATGCTAGGGGGACCACTTTCAAAAAACTATATTAGACAATTGCAACCTGCAACTGCCCAATATTACTTGCAGAGGCAAGTATGCTTGCGGTCTGATGTTAGGTTAATGACAGTCGTTGTGTTTGTCTCATCGCATGATCATCTGCATGTTTTATCTCCCCGTATGATCATCTACAGGTTGTCAGGCCTGTGGATTCGCATGATTACTTGCGATTGAAATTTTCTGAAGTGTTCTCCCTCTTTTCATGCAATTCGACTTCGTCTTCGCTGAAACAAGGTTTTGGTTTTGAAAAGGTGTTCAATTATTTGAATGCTCGAAATGACATCTTTAATCCTTGAAAACTCTTTTCGATTTTTTTTTTGAAGGCTAAAAATTGTTTTTGGCCGAAAAGGAATTAAGTTTAGGTAATCCTCCAATTTGAAGGATCGCACTTAAAAGTAATCGAGGTTTCAAGGTGCCCTAACCTTAAGGCCAGTCAAAAATGGATTACCTACAACATTTTATTTTTTCATTCAAAATAGTAATTAACGATACATGATGAAGGGACAATATTGTAACAAAATTGAAAATATGAACTTCAAATTGTTCAAATTATAAAAATAAAGATCAAATTAATACTTCACTTAAACTATAGAAACTAATGACAAAATTTATCCACAAATAAAATAGAAAAACAAAACAAAATGAAATAAAGCAAATGGCACTAGTTTATAGAATATAACATGTCTTAACAAACAACCGTATAAGTATATGAGATTTATAAATAATAATAAAAAATGTAAAACCAATTTAATACCTTTAAAGCCATGCAAAGTGAAAAGAAAATATTAAATTATCAAACTGCTTAGAAACAAAATGGCTTCTTTAATTTCACTCCATGATTGAAAAGTAGCTCGAACATAGATAAGCAAATGTATGTATCTATAGTCTCTAATTCATAAAGAATATGTACATGTGTCTATGTATGGAATTTTATAAACATATAATAATGTAGATATAGGTGGAAAATAAAGGCAGAACTTAAAGAACTAAGTTTGATGAACATGGAAGAGAACACGAGGGGCACAAATACTTTATCAAAATTTTCAAGTAATGAATCGTGAATAAAGTTCAGTGATTGAAGATTACCATATGAAGCAAATGATGATACTTGATCAGGAGGGTTTGTTGAATAATGTTGCGAATAAGAAATTGCTACCAAATGTAGATCTTCAAAACCCATTGGTGGTGGGTTTCTTATAGCTACTTGTGAGTGATCTCTTGCGCGAAGCCATGATCGATACTTGAGACTCTCTCACCCTCTCTTTGTTTTGAGGTTGATAAATTTTACCTCCCACTTTCGCTTTTTCTTTTCTCACATATTAATTGGAGTTCTCACTTAAAAATGAGATTCTTGAAGGTCCCTCTGATTTCTTATTTCATAATTTTCTTTTATTCTCTTTTCTTATATTTTCCATTACAACTAATATAAAAATTATAATTTAATTTATTTTCCCCTTTCAATTGCCCCCACCTCAAGACCAACCTTCAAACAAAGCCTTAATAAAATGAGTTTAACCTGGTGCAAGGGTAGTGCAACATCTCGTTATATTGGGACTGTTTGTTATAGTTTTTAAGAGATAATAAGTTATTTTAATTTGGAAATTTATGCTAAATTATTTGGTATAACTTCTACTTATAACTTATTCAAAAGATGCAACTTCAATAAATAAAAAAAAAAAATTTATTTGAAAGTTTAAAAATGAGTGCTTTTAGCTTCTGCTATCTGACTATCAATTTTTAGCTTAGCAAACAAGGCTATTGTAATCTTTTTTATTACTTAGGGGTTGTTTGGGATAAACTATATAAGTGGGCTTTTTGACTTTTTACGAAAAATGTATATTAGAATATTGTGTAAAATAACAAAATTACCTTTTGCACCCCTATGCCCCCTATGCGTACTAACAGTGACGATTGAAGGAAGCTAGTACGGATTGCTTTGAAGTTGTGTGGTGGGCAGTATACTTCAGAAGATATATATATCTTTTTATTTTTTTTTAACGTGTTTCCTGTTTTCAACATGCATCATCACTTCAATACAAATTTGGCTTGTACTTTTTTGTACTTTTTTTTTTCAATACAAAGAAGGGCCATTCAGTCTTTTTCTCTCTGCCTCGTGTTGTGCATGTTCCACCCTTGATTTTTGTGAATAGTGATAACTTTTTAACTTTTTTAGTAATTTTTTGATTTTTTGTCTTTTATAGAATATCCCAAACAAGCACTTAATTATAATTAAAGATTTTTATTATATCATCTAATGATTATAAAAAATCACTACAGTAAGTAAAATGAAATTTTCTTAATTCAAAATAACAACAAATTTATATTTATAAATATATAATAAAAATCTTCTATTATAATTATGTAAGGCCATCTCCAACATTTAACCAAATCTATCACCAAATTTAAATTTGGTGAAAAAGTACATTTTTTTGGTCTCCAATTTTTTGCATAAACCTGTATCAAATTGAGAACATTTCAAATCTTTCACCAAACTAAGGACCTAGCCAGCTTTCACCAGTTTACTGTGTGTGAACGTTGGGGGTGGGACCCACCGGACGACCGACTAATTGTCCTCCGGGTATCTTGAGTAGTCTTGAGAAAATTATTGGTGTTATTTGCTAATTTTTGAGGAACCACATATGCTATGACTTGTTTGGGTTCAAATTTTTAGCTCATAATCTGCTACTAGAAGAGAAATTTAGAAAGAGATTTTCTTGCAGTTATGAGAGAGCCACTTGGACTGCATGTAGGTGGCTTCCCTCTATGGAGGGATGTGAAGACCTCTCTCCCTCAGAGATTGCTTAACAGCTGAGCAAACCAAACATATTATCTCTATTAGCTTCTCTTCACTTCTAACAAATATGAAAGTCAGAGAAATTGTAAGCTCTGAACAAGTTGAAGTAGGCCTTGTTAGCTTAAACTAAGACCTGAAATCCATGTCCACTATCAAAACCTCACTACTTCACCATTGTTGTCCTTCTTCATAACTTCTATATATTTATAATCACCTTTAAATTCAAACACATCATGTACACAACACAACAAACACACACATATCAGAAATAGGTCTTCACCAAAATCAAGAGAGAGAGCTGAAGAAACGGAAAAGAGTTAGCAGAGAAAAAAAGAAATGGCAAAGGAATTGAGAAAAACAGAAATTGAGAGAAAAAAAATCACTTTGCTATTTCCGATCAACCCCTCAGACATCCTGTATTTTGATGAAAGTACAATAATTCACCGTTAAAACGATTAATAATAAATAGAGAAATTGGTCAATTTTTTTATTTAAATTTAATAAAAAATTTATTCAACCGCTAGAAGTGTCCTAATAGAGAATATCAAAATTCGGCAATATAGAAGCTGATGTGGCAAATCACAGAGTAAGGATGGCACGAAGACAAAGATTGAACGGCCGAGATCAAATCCAACAGCGGGCAAAGATCGCACGGCGAACATGCCGAAAGGCTGTCAAGGCCACGTCACTCCATCTTTTCTCGTGGTCGAAATGATTCCCCCCTCTCACAATTTAGTCGTCATTTCATTTGCATTTCAAATTCCTTACCCTTTTTTTTTTCTCTCTCTCTCTCTCTCTATATACTCATCTCATCTTTCGCTTTTGCTCTTCAACTTCTTTTTCGGGTTTCGATCGAGAAGAGAGAGAGCTAGTCATTGCTTTGGACGATCTTCGATCTTCACCCATTTTCGCTCGTCTTATCTGTCTCCTCCTCACTACTAGGTACGCTGCGATCTGAATCTACTTATTATCCTCTTTCTCATTTTGGTGGACTTGATTTGATGGTTTCATATTTTTTTTGTTTGATTTTAATTTTAGATGCGAATCTGTCGATGTTTGTATACAGATCTGAAAAGTTAATGAAAAAAGTTCTGATTTTGCTTGGATTGATTCTGTTTGTGCGTAAAAGATCGATCTTCTTTAGATTTTGTTTCGTCTTCCTCCGATCTATTGGTTTGGTTTATATTTGTGTTTGATTCAAGTTCAGTTACTACACTGCCCCTCTGTTTTGAATGGACTCATTGTTGAGCCTGATATTTTTTCAATTTATGAGTGATCAATGTATTGTAACCTTTTCTTCGTGATTAATCAATTCTATTGTCTGATCTGTGTTTTTCCCTCTAGATCTGCCCTTGAACATTTGCGATTGAATTTTGTTAGGTCTCTAGGAATGTATTGCTTGTACTCCTGATCAATTTCATCTGTCATAATTAATAGAATTTGAGATCTGTAGATGCTTGTCGAGTGTTGAGCCTTCATTGAGATTTGTGTTGATGATGGTTTCAAATTTTGTTTTGTTACAAATTGATTCATTGAAAAGGTTTTTGATTTCTTGAATTTGGAGTTTAGAATGTATCATAATCAAGAAGCGTTTGAACTGAACACTTGATAATGCAATAAATTTCAGAGGAAACTTTGGTTAAACCTGTTTGGAGGGAGCAAAATTTGATATTGACAATGATTTGTTATATTGTAGAATATGCAATTGAGTCCTGCCTGTTGCACAAATCAACCTTAAATTTGTTCCCTTTAGGTCGAAGTGATCTGAGGATGAAGGAAAGGTCATGTTTGTAGGTGTTTATAGTTCTCAGTTTCTTAGATATTTTTTTTTTCATCCCTTTGTAATTGTTATGCAGTTATAAAAGATGGCTGATGCTGAGGATATTCAGCCCCTTGTCTGTGACAATGGAACTGGAATGGTGAAGGTATGTTTTCTTGTCATTCTGTAAAAAGGATCCTGTCATGATTTTACTTACATGCCTATGTGTTCCGGATTTGTACTCTTTTTATTTATTTATTATTATCATCTGCAGGCTGGGTTTGCTGGTGATGATGCTCCCAGGGCAGTTTTCCCCAGTATTGTAGGTCGCCCCAGGCACACTGGTGTCATGGTTGGGATGGGCCAGAAAGATGCTTATGTAGGTGATGAAGCCCAATCCAAAAGAGGTATTCTTACCTTGAAGTATCCTATTGAACACGGTATTGTCAGCAACTGGGATGACATGGAAAAGATCTGGCATCACACATTCTACAATGAGCTCCGTGTTGCTCCTGAAGAGCATCCAGTGCTTCTTACAGAGGCACCACTCAACCCTAAAGCAAACAGAGAAAAGATGACCCAAATTATGTTTGAGACTTTTAATGTGCCTGCCATGTATGTTGCCATCCAGGCTGTTCTCTCTCTATATGCCAGTGGTCGTACAACTGGTTTGTGACAATCTCAATCTCTCTCTTAGATTTATGTTATTGACCATTATGTTAGTATAATATATATTTTTTTTGTTTTGATGCCACCTTTGTTCTTTTGGACAGGTATTGTGCTGGATTCTGGTGATGGTGTGAGCCACACCGTGCCTATCTATGAGGGGTATGCTCTTCCTCATGCTATCCTCCGTCTTGACCTTGCTGGCCGTGATCTAACAGATGCGCTCATGAAGATCCTTACTGAAAGAGGTTATATGTTCACCACCACTGCTGAACGGGAAATTGTCCGTGACATGAAGGAAAAACTTGCATATGTCGCTCTTGACTACGAGCAAGAGCTGGAGACTGCGAAGAGCAGCTCCTCGGTTGAAAAGAACTATGAGCTGCCTGATGGTCAGGTCATTACTATTGGTGCTGAGAGATTCCGTTGCCCTGAAGTCCTGTTCCAGCCATCTTTGATTGGAATGGAAGCTGCAGGGATCCACGAGACTACCTACAACTCCATCATGAAATGTGATGTTGATATCAGGAAGGACCTCTATGGCAACATTGTGCTCAGTGGTGGTTCAACTATGTTCCCCGGTATCGCAGACCGTATGAGCAAGGAAATTACTGCTCTTGCTCCCAGCAGCATGAAGATCAAGGTTGTGGCACCACCTGAGAGAAAGTACAGTGTCTGGATTGGAGGATCTATCCTCGCATCCCTAAGCACCTTCCAACAGGTTAATCAATATTTTTTAAAAAAAATTTCATTGCTTATTCGCTTCAAATAAAAATCTTGGTTTGGTTTGGGATTTTGACATGCTTGCTTGATTTTTCTGATTCAGATGTGGATTTCAAAGGGTGAATATGATGAATCTGGTCCATCCATTGTCCACAGGAAGTGCTTTTGAGGTGTGCGATATTGCATTGATGATGGTGAGTTTTTCTTTTGCTATCTAGTTGGTTTTTTGTGTTATTTGTCATGATGTCAGTCTGGTTGATATGGAGGTGTTGAGGTGTGGTTATGAATGGAAGGCAAAATTTGATCGGGATGTATTATCTATCTCTCATTCGTAAGAAGATGCTGACATGTAATGGCTTTCCTGGCCTTGCCTCACATGTGGTTCAACCGTCTTTTTAGTAGGATGGCTTGTAGGTGGAGGAGAGTGCTTGTGGTTTTCTTTTTTGTTTTTTTGTTTTTTAAATTTTAATATTTGAAGTTTCTTTTTCTTTCCGTTTTTCCTGGGAACAATTATGCTAATATTTATTGTATGAAAATTTTTATATTAGTGTCAGTTTGTGGTCAGAAACTCTTTTATGGAAATTATATATGTTGATACTGGGTATGCCATGGTTCTATAATAAAATTTGAGTATTTTGGTGAATATTATTGTCAAGAGCACTACTTATCTAGTCAAAATTTGGCATTTGTTTAGTAACCAAATTTACAAGTCTAGATGGTGCTGGGGAGGATAGTCTGTTGCCAGTTTGTTGTTTTACAGTCTTCTTTAGCCCTCATACAAGCCATTATTTTTAAGGAAAATGCTATGGACTCCAAATAATCTACTAAATTTTTTATCAAACCTCTCACATAAATGTGAGATTCACACAAATCCACATGTGTGCCTCTCACACTTATATGAGAGATTTGATAGAAAATTTGGTAAATTATTTGGGGTCTCTAGCATAATTCTATTTTTAGGAATTGTTTGGGATGTCCTAAATAAGTGTATTTTTTGTCTTTTTAGACCAAAAAATTGAGGTTGAAAACATGTGTATTAAAAAATTGTATAAATTAATGTGTAGGGGAAAATTAGTAATAGGAGTTGTGTAGTCGTAATTATTGACTTTTGGTGAATAGTGATGAGTAACTTTTTGATTTTTTTGAGACTTCCCAAACTTTGCTTTATTTCCCCTATCTGGCGAGGATGTGGAGGGTCGTGCTGCTGGATGTTTTTGGAAATTTAACTTGGACGCTGTTTATTGATAGATTAATATTTAACTTTGTCTGTGTTGATAGATTGAATGCCTGGGGGTGGGTGACTTTTCAAATGCAAACTTCGGTATATAGGAAATTTTTATTATTGTTTTGGTTTATTTTTTAATAGTGAGTTTAAAATCTGAAGGAATTGTTTGTTATAACTTTTGGGAGTGATTATAACTTATTTTGAGTTGAGAGTTTATGGCAAATTGTTTGGTGCAGTTTTTGTTAGAAATAGTGTGAAAGCTAAGGTAAGGGTGTTTTTAGTTTATGGTTTTTGATTATCAACAGTAACTTGAAATAAAGTATCACCAAACAGGGCGAAAGTGGGTTTGTGGTCATTAGTTCAACTTGTGTATGCTAATGCGGGCTATTTTGAATTTGAATCCAAACAAAATTTGATTTTGAAAATTGAGGGGAGGAGAGGACAGAAAACTGACAAAATCCAGTAACGCCGTGTTTGGTTGAGGGATTTGAGGAGGGAATTGGAAAGGGAAAGAAAAAAGTTAGTTGAAATGTAAATAAAATATAAATACATTTTATCTAGTTTCACACATTTTTTCTCTTTCTCTTTTCAAATTCCTCTCCAAATTCTCCAATCAAACACAGCATAAGAGTTATGATCGATTTGATTTGCCAACAAATTGCAACCAGACATTGGGTAGAAAACTGTTCACTGCACAGCACTGCACTGAACTTGAAATTGGACTTGGAGCTCATCTCATGGACTACAATTTAAACAACATTTTAGACAAGCTGACCTCCTCTGTTGGTTTGGGTGACGTTTGGTACAATGAGAAGTCAACTGAAAATATTTTTTTATTGTCAAACAAAAAATATCTATTTAATAGAAAATATTTTTCTTGTTAAAAAAAAAATAGAAAATATTTTTCAAATAAATTTTTACCATTGTCACACCACACTACTACTACTATTCTCACCTTTTCAATTACACTACACTACCTTCTCAACCACGCTAACATTACCATGGTTATTGCCATCATCACTATTGTTGCTACCCGACCACCACACCTTCACCTCTTGTCCCACCATCACCATCATCAAAAATATAAAATTATTTTTCACTCAAACAAACTAAGCGTACATGAATTTTCATTTTTGGAGGTTGAACTTGTTTTGTGTTGGTGTGACCTGCAAACCAAAAAGATGGACAAAATACAAAATGAGACAGGGTAGTGGTGGGTATAAACTCATGCATTTTGAGCAATGAGTTGTTTGAAATTTTTATTTTTATTTATTTATTAGTGTATTTATTTATAAACTTTAAAATGCAAATGTTTAATTTAAAAATTAAATTTGAGATGATGTCAAATAAGTTTTAATTATTAGTTTTGAGATTATTATTTTTTTAATTAATTTATGACTGATGATAAAGAGAGATTAACATAATTTTATCAATTTTAAAATTTAATCAATTAGTTTAAAATATTTTCTTTGCACATCAATAATTTACCCCTCCACCCCCCGGGAATTCGTGTCCAGATAGAATATTAATAAGAATTTCAATTTCCTCAACCAAACAACTTATTATAATTTTTTCAAAGAAAAATGATTTTTTTCCCGAATTTTGCCCCCCCAAATCCCCTGATTGTCCAAAACGATGTCGTTTTAGGCAGTTTATTGTTTTCTTTTTTCTTTTTTTTCCTGTATGCAGGTCTGAAACAGAGGAGAAAGAGGGAGAGAAGAGAGAAAGAAGAGGGGAAGAGGGAATGGAGAGAAGAGAGGGCCCCTCCGCTTCCGCCGTCGGCCGATCGTCGCAGCTCGTCCCTCGTCGCAGCTCGTTCGCCGTCGCCTCCGCCTCCTTCGCCTCTGCTTCTTTCTTCTTCTTCTTCTTCTTTTTCCTTCTCTTCTTGTTCTTCTTCTTCTTGTTGATGTTGGCCCCTCCACTTCTTCTTCTTCCTTCTTCTTCTTTTTTCTTCTTTTCAAATTTGGGGGATTCCGGGGGGGGACTCTTTTCGAGCTACCAATCACGGTTGTTTTGTCAAATTCCAAGATTGTATTCCAAGAGTACTTAAGTACATAATGTTAAGAATGATCATTTGGCAGTTCGTCTTATCAAGTGAGTTTAAAATAAAACTTTTTGAAATTTTTTTAAAAAAGGTTAACTGACAATTTTTTTTTAAAAAAAAGCCGAAAAATGTCATTCCTAAAACAGCCCTTAATGGAGTTATTTAGCTTTGAACTATGGGTCATTCTAAAATACATACCCCCAAAAGGGAAACATGATAGGTGTTGTGAGGCAATGGACCATACTAGTGCTGTGCTTGTGCTTCTGGAACGGCATAGTTTCGCAAATATGATCGAACTCCTCCTATCCTTAGGCCAATTACGTTGTCTTTTCTTTGTTTAAACCAGTATGCTAAACTTTCATTTGCTGTCAATCATCAATTCCAAATTCATTTTATGCCATAATCTTGTGATTATTATATGAAAAATGTCATTAATACATAATGTTTATACAAATTTTTTGACAAAAATGATATAATTGTGACAATTTTGAAAATATAAACCATCTTGATCAATCTTTTGTTTTAAAATTACAAAATCGAAGTAACAAAATAATGTATTAATTTTATGTACAATTTTTATGTTTCTATATCATTACTCTTGTCATATATAAATAGACAAAATGGAATACAATTGAATTGTGCCACATATCAAAAAATATTACCCGTAATTGAAATTTGTAAAAAAAAAAAGAGAAAAAAGAAAAAATTATTTTGCATTAACTTCAAATTTACACCCTATATTTTACTTTCACGATAAATTTTGGTTAAGTTTTCATGTTACCTAAAATTATTGAAAGAAATAAAACTACAATTTCTATATTAGGAAATAAACATATATCACACACACAAACATATATATATATATATATTAGTGGTGGTGTACAGGTGTGTTGCGCATGATATTTTATTTAGTGTAGTTATATTTTTCAAATGAAAAACTTCATAATAATATAAAGAAACTAGATATTAGAAAAATAGTATTTCATAATAAATTTGTAAACTATATGGATTTATCAATCAAACACAAAATGAGAAAAGTGAGAGCAAGAGGTTTGGTATTTCAAAGTTGTAAAACCACTAATATAAAATAAACTAATAATGTAAGAATATGATTTGGTCCATGAATAACTAAACAGGAATTGTAAGAAAAAAGAAACATAAATCTAGAATTTATCGAGAATTCTAATGAATGATTTAGATTCAATTCTTAAATGATGGGTTATACTTTTAAAATAAATTTAAACCAACCATGTATTTTTTAGACAAATTTCTAGTAAAAAAAATTTGAGTTTGTAGAAGTTCTCGTAACAAAAACAAATGTGTGTTATCAAAAAGTGGTTGGATTCTCTCTTGTATAGTAACGAGAAGTAAAAGTTGTATATGTGAACAATGAAAAATTTACACCTTATATAAAAGATGAAAGTGTCTCTCAATGAATAGATGTGCCTATTCAATTTAATTTTGTAATGATTTGTAAGAGTATGACCATTCGGTCTATATAAAAAATATTAATTTTTAACTTTTAAAATTAGGGTTGAGTTTAAATTTGAGATAATTTGACATTCTCGCAAGTCTCACCAAAAGTTCTGTTTCGATGATTCAAACCATTCATTTTGTAGAACCCTCAGTATATATCATTCATAAAAAAAATTAGATTGATCTAATAAGCATAATATTTTTAATTTATCACATGCCTTTGAAAAAAAAAACGGCAAATATATTTTTAAAAATAAACTATTTTTTTAGAGAAACATGATAAAATTACACTGAAGGTCGTACAAAACGAACAATTTAGATCATTAAAACAGAACTTGTGATAAGCCCCACGAGCCCGTCAAATTCTATTAAGTTTATATTTGAATTTTCGAAAAACTCAACCGTAAAATTATGTATTATTATATGAAAAATGATAGACATCCACAATTTTGTATCTACAAATTCAATAACAGTAATGTGACAAGACAATTGGATACTATATGTAATTAAGTATGTGACAAATTAAAAATTAACATATATTAGTATCAATTATGCCACATCATTGTGGATTAAATTAGAATTTTTTTTAAGTGTTTCAATCATTATTGTTATTATTATATGAAGTCCTCTAACAGATAAAAATCGTAAAGTGATCATTTACAAAAATTCAGAAGTCTTAGTGCCTGTTCCTATTGGGTGCTTGTGACTTTTGCTATATGGTGCATTTTCAGGAGTAACATATTGAGAAAAATATTTTGAAAATATGAAAAAAATAAAAAATAAGTGAGGGTGCTTACACTTTTAACAACATAATAAGAATAGATGGCAGATATATGCATAATAATAATGCTAGGTTTTGAGAATTTAAACACAGTAAAGTATCAAGAAAAATTGTTTT